AGTGATCCTTCCCAGCTGGGAAGCCTGTTTAGCATTGCCAGCCACTTCTGTGGTTTTCTGCAAGAGAGATGTGGGGCAATGCTGCCCTCTGTTGAACATAGTGAGCCATGCACCAGATACCATCCGGCCCCTCCCTTGAGCCTTTTACCATTCCTTATCATTTTTGCTTGTCCCTCCCCCTTGCCACCCCCAGATGGATTCCAGCATCATGAGCTAAGCCTAGGGGGAAAAGAAAGATAAGGTTGACCATTCTTTTAAATATAAACCTCATTCCCCAGTCTATCAATTTTGTCCTGTCAGTATCGCAGTGTAATCAAGCCTGCAGTCCCATCACTCACTAAATATTTGCAGTGTAACCAACCCTATTATTTCATTGCTTAAGACCAGATGTCTCTGGTGCATAATTCATTTCATTTTTAGTATAATGGGCTTTGCAAATAACTGGAGGACAGCTAAAGAAGCCTCCTTCAATATTTTACCCGTGTGTGGCTTGGACTGCACCTCCCATTATCCCTGGACAGAATGAAAAAAGCTGGCAGAGAGCATGTTCAGAATGGCTGTTAGTTAGAATGGTGTCCCCCAGATACACTCTTAGGAAAGATTGCACTCCAACTCCCATCATTCACATGCTGGCTAGGAATGATGGTAGTTGTAATCCAATACATCCAGAGGGCATCTGTTTGAGGATCATGGCAATACAGTGATTAATATTTGCATGAAGGTATCCTTAAACCAACAATTCCCAAAGTACAAACCAATGATTTCAAGAAATAATGAAATAATCATTTTGGTTCATCCATCATTTGCTGCCTAATGAAGCAAGCACACAGCATCAACCACCTTCTTTTTACCAATATATGGGTGGTGACATCTTGCTATTAGATAGGATAAGGAGGGCACACAGGAATTCCCTGATTTTGCAGATGCTTTGCCTGATAGATGTAGGGGAATCCAAGAAGTATTTCATTGCTGAAAATTATAGTGGCCCATCCCGCAAAGCAGAAGATGAGATGTCAGGAAAGAGGGGGTTATCAATTAAGGTGCTAGACCAGAGTTTCTCAGCCTGAGGGTTGGGTCACTAAGAGGTTTCATAGGGGTCACATATTTCTGATGGTCTTAAGAACCCCTTTGGCAGAGAAGTCATTTGGATTCACAGTGCTCTCTGGAGGTTCGTGAACTACACCTCCCCTAAATCACTGTGAATTCCTCCCAAATCCCTCCAGTAGTTTCTGTTGTTCATGGGGGTTCTGTGTAGGAAGTTTGGCCCAATTCTATCATTTGTGGTGCTCAAGGGACTCTTTGATTGTAGGTGAACTATAAATCCCAGCAACTACAACTCCCAAATGTCAAGTCTGTTTTCCCCAAACTCCACCAGTGTTCACATTTGGGCATATTGAGTATCCATGCCAAGTTTAGTCCAGATCCATCATTGTTTGAGTCCACAGTGCTGTCTGGGTGTAACTGAACTACAACTCCAAAACTCAAGGTCAATGCCCACCAAACCCTTCCACTATTTTCTGTTGGTCATGGGAATTCTGTGTGCCAAGACTGGTTCAGTTCCATCATTGGTGGAGTTCAGAATGCTCTTTGATTGTATAAATCCCAGCAATTACAACTCCCAAATGACAAAATCAATTCCCCCCAAACCCTTCAGTATTCAAATATGGACATATTGGGTATTTGTGCCAAACTTGGTCCAATGAATGAAAATACATCCTACATGTCAGATATTTACATTACGATTCATAACAGTAGCAAAATTACAGCTATGAAGTAGCAATGAAAATAATTTTATGGTTGGGGGGTCACCACAACATGAGGAACTGCATTAAGGGGTCACAGCATTAGGAAGGTTGATACCCACTGTGTTAAACAGATCCAAGGAATGTCAGGCTAAGTTCACGGCAGCTGAGTGAGGAAATATATATTACTGTATTGCTTCAGTTCTAAGACATACTTTCCCCCCTATATAAACGTCTCTAAAAATGGGGTGCATCTTAGAATTACAGGTGTATCCTACGATTTTTTTTTTTTTGGTGATGGTGATACTGAAATTAGAGTGCATCTTATAACTGAAGAAATATGCTATGTGTATGCTCCTACTCTTGATTAGTGAGAAGTTTCAGGTGCCATGATCCAATTCTCAAAAAAGGAGATCACCAGGAAACTTACATGTAAGGTTTATTTGTGTGTATTTCCCAGGAAAGCATCAAGGTTAATATTATCAAATGTTTAGGGAACATATACCCTCCATATGTTGTTGGAGTATAACTCCCAATATCAATCAATATGAACTGTGCTGTTTAGGGCTGCTAGAAGATCTTAAGGACCATGCTTTCCCTGCTCCTAATTTAGCCTTATATAATTTGCTGCAGAGAACAAGCTAGCTCACGGATCCTTTTCAGATCCATTTCCAACACAGGCTGACTGTTACGCACCATTTCCTTTTTTTTCTATTTGGAGGAAGAAAATATGAATAAGATGAGTCATCTTTGCCCATTACAGATGCTTTCTTGGTTCAGCCAAGCTCCTGTTGGAACACACCAGCCAAACTGTCAGGTTCTAAGATGAGTCACTTCTATGCATCTATACAGATAGTTCCACATTAGTGAGATCTTATGAAATAATTGGGAGAGATCAAGTGATTGGTATTTTTCTGAGTCTCGGGTAGAGTTTGCTTCTAGTATTCATTTGGAAAGAAAAGCACATTTGAGTTATCAGCTGTTAAACTGGCTCTAAAGCAGTAGTTCTCAACCTTCCTAATGTCGCAACCCCTTAAAACAGTTCCTCATGTTGTAGTGATCCCCAACCATAAAATTATTTTTGTTACTTCGTAAGTGTTATTTTGCTACTGTTATGAATTGTGATGTAAATATCTGGTATGCAGGATGTATTTTCATTCACTGGACCAAATTTGGCACAAATACCTAATATGTCCTAATTTGAATACTGGTGGGGTTGGGGATGATTGATTTTGTCATTTGGGAGTTGTAATTGCTGGGATTTATAGTTCACCTACAAAGAGCATTCTGAACTCCACCAATGATGGAATTGAACCAAACTTGGCACACAGAATTCCCAACAAAAATAGTGGAAGGGTTTGATGGAAATTGACCTTGAGTTTTGGAGTTGTAGTTCACTTACATCCAGAGAGCACTCTGGACTCAAACAATGATGGATCTGGGCCAAGCTTGGCACAAATATTAAATATACCCAAATGTGAACACTGGTAGAGTTTGGAGAAAACAGACTTGACATTTGGGAGTTGTAGTTGCTGGGATTAATAGTTCACCTACAATCAAAGATCCCCTTGAACCCTGCCAAAGATTTGGACCTAACTTCCCACACAGAACCTCCATGACCAACAGAAAATACTGTGTTTTCTGATGGATTTTGGTGACCCCTCTGACACCCTCTCATCCCCCCCCCCCTCCACTCCCCAGGGGACCTGGCCCCCAGGCTGAGAAACACTGCTCTAAAGTGTTATTTGCCAAAATATGAGAAGGACAGGCAAAGAATGTGGTACTGTGTACCATGATCACACTGACATAGTGCACATTTTCCCAATTATATTTGATGCTCATACTTTTGGAGAAAGGGTGGATACTGGGTTAGCTCAGGGATGAAAAATTTGCCCTCAAAACTGAGAGTTGCTTATTGGAAATCGCTCATAAGCCACTGAGCTGTGGCTGATTTGCATACTTTAGTTGAATGGCATTAACATAATATGCATGAGCATAGCAAATATAAATCAACATTAGCTTGACATAACACACTCCATCTACAATAACTTCATCGTGAAACTGTTGTCCTCTGATGCAGAGAAATCTCGACTAAGCACTTAGAAAACTTTGAAATCTTATAGGGAACTTGCATAACTTGTCAAATATAATCAATTTGTCCTTCATTGTTTGCTTGTTTACCATTTTGCTATCTGTCTATCAATATCTCTCCAACCAGGAGGTTGTAAGGTTCAGAATAATTATCTACATGCCGGGCATGGAAGGAACTCTCCTGATGCCCTCTCTTTGACGAAGCAGATTGCGAATTAATACCATATAAGCAGAAAGTCTCCCCGCAACTGATAATGCTAGAATTTTGAGTTCTCCATTCAACTAAACATTGAGAGATTCAGGACACAGCTGCACTATAGAAGTTGCTATTACAAAATATAGCAATGGCTGCCAACTTGGATAGCCTTGAAAATTTGTTAGGCAAATTCATGAAGTACAAAGATATAGGTATCTACTAGCCATGATGGCTATAGATACTTTCGCCAGCACCAGACATGGCATTTCTGTGCATAGCAATTGCTCAGGAACATGGGTTTCATGTCCTTCTCATAGGTCTCTATAGGTGTTTGGTTAGCTTCTGTGTGAATAGAATACTGGAGTAGAAGGATCTTTGATCAGACCCAACATAGCTTTTCTGATCCCTTAATTCAAGAGACATGTAAACATCCCATTTTCACTTTGACTTCACTGTGAAAAGCATGTAAAACCGAATAGATGATCTTTCATTATACTTCCCAATGCAAACGTGTTTTTTTAATGTCAGAATCAGAACAGATCCTACTTATCCCCAGCTGAGCTCAGCTTAGTGTGACTATGTGAAGACAAAGTTCAAGAAGAATAGTAAAACCATATGTTTCTATTGGCTTCTTAGACACCCAGATCTGTATAAGCATTGTTTCTCAATCTACCTTCACTGATCCCCAGTACAGGAAATATCAACCCATTCACATGGGCTGCATGATCAGAGACATAGGAAGATGTTCATGCCCTTCCTGGTACAGGCAAACTGCATCTCTACAAGTGTTGATTGACCAGCGCTCCCAGCCTTCCTCCCCATTAGCTCTGCTACCTAAGGCTAATGGAAGATGCAGTACAGGAGGACCACACTTTTCCCACCCCCTCTCTTGTGTTCTAATATTCACCTCAATAGGTTAGTTCTCCCACAATGACACTTTTTACTCACACTTAATATTTTGGCCTTTTCAGGACTGGAATCTGGATTCTGCACCATCCCCCGTGTCCCTCGCTCAGAGAAGAATCAGGAGAGCTCCCACCTCACCGAGTCAACACTGACACGTTCAGACTCCCTTCTGTCTTTCCGTCTTGACCTTGGACCCTCTCTCATGAGTGAACTTCTTCATGTCATCAGTTCCACAAGTGTCAGCAACCAAGCCGACAGAGAGGATGAGGAAAGACGGGGGAGCCAAACGTCAGTCAGCAGTGATGCTATCTCACCTCTTCCCCTGAAGAGCACCTGGGCAGAAGACTCTGTGTCTTGGAGATCAGGGTCTCTGCGTGCTAACTGTGAAGAAAGCAGAGCTGGATCAAGTTTGTGGGGCCAGTCTGGAGCCAGTTCACCGTTGGGCCATTCATTGTGTACCAATGGAGATTCTCAATCCGTAGAGCTTTCTCAGGAAGGATCTCCCTGTTCTAGGGGGAAGAGCTCTGAACTGGGAGCGATGCCAAAAGAGACCTCTTGGCAAGGACAACTTAATGACTGCAACATGGAAGAAAGAGAGTTCAACAAGGCAGCACAGGTTTTAGCTTGTCATTATGGCACAGGAAGCACCTATAAGGTTGGCCAACAAAAGCAAGAAGAGCCAAGGAGCCAAGCGTCATGGGAAAGCCCAGATACCAACACAAGGCGCTTCAAGGGAGGGGTACCAGAGTGGCAGGAGCACAAGGCTGGATGGCACCAGAGAGAAGAGGAAGAGGAAGAAGAGGAGGAGGAATTCTATAGACATGGGGCAACTGTTGCTAGAGAAGGGTTTAGTGATTCTTTTGGCTATGTTGATGAGGAAGAAGATGATGAAGTTAAGGTCTGAAAAACTATATATGCCCTTATGTAACCACCCAGCACACTCCCAGGAGATGTCAATGTTAAAGGGAACAATGCAGCTTGCAAGCTGAAATTCTGATGAGAGTGTAAACTCCAAAGAAGGGTTCACCTTCTTTGGAAATGGTCAAAATGACAGTAGGTGGGTGAATGAAGAAGTTATTTTCTCCCCTTTTCTCTCTCCCACCTTTCCATGTTTTAGAGATGTAAACAACCAGCTGGGGAAAAAGAGACCCAGACAAAAGAGGCATCTAAGGCCCTGGAAGCCTTTTTCAATACAGCCAGGTCTTAATGAGTTCACTTCCCATTTCACCCGCACTGGTTCACTCATATTGCCATTGCAGGTAATGCCATGATGGGCTTTATATTCTCTAAAAAGCCAGCAAAACTGTCAAAATTCCTGTCAAACAATTCTAGGATGGATTTTTTTAAAACAAAAATTCAAGGACACAATTGAAGTCCAAGGAGAACAGGAAACACCATAAACTATGTAGAAGGACACTTGTTGTGTCCAAAAGTGTCCAAAGTGTCCAAAAGTGAATTCAACCAACTGCCAGTGCATAATTTTACCTTCAGATCAGTAGGTACTCTTTCAGTCAGATGTCCTTTCGCCAAACAATTCAACATGTCATCTCTCCTCTGCTCAGGGTTAAATCTGACACTGTGAAAGGAGAATGTCTGTGTAGATGTAGTCCCTGACTCATGACTACATGTAACCCTGGAAAGAAAAATATTGCCCATCCTCTGTACTAAATGGCATTGGCCATTCAAACAAATATGATGATGTTCTATAGGCTATTTTTCAAAGGAAAAAAGTGGCAAAACTACCTCTGAGTATTCCTTTCCTAAGAAAAACCTATGAAATTAATGGGCTTGCTGTAAGTCAACAGATGATTGAAAAGCATATACTTGGGGCCCTTCCACACAGCCATATCATAGAATCATAGAGTTGGAAGAGATCTCATGGGCCATCCAGTCCAACCCCTTGCCAAGAGGCAGGAAAATCACATTTGCATATAGCCCAGACTATCAAGGCAGAAAATCCCACAATATCTGCTTTGAACTGGTTTATCTGAGTTTACACTGCCATATATTCCAGTTCAGAGTAGAAAATGTGGGATTTTATTCAGCTGTGTGGAAGGGGCCTTAGATACAGAGTCCTGACAGGAGGGCAGGTCCCTTCAGATTTTCTTTCTAGTGGAGAGAGAGGGGGAAACTTCATTTGAAAATACTTCCTTGTGAAATGTGTTCCCATTGCAACAGTGTACAATCAGTCTGAAAAGTGAGGTGGGCCAGGTCATCCCATCTCTTTGCGATGGTCAAATCAGTGCTGTCAGGTTTCACATGGGGTTTGCTTTCAAAGAACCACTGTGTTAAACAAGCTGTGGATCAGGTCTGAATCACCGCATTACACACATTTCGAAGAGGCTTTCAGACAGAGGTGTAGTGAGGGCAGTCCTGTTCTCCTAGCACAGCAAAAACATGAGAATCGGGCTTCTCACCCAGCTTCCTTCCCACCACCCCCTGCTTCTGCATATTTTAGGAGATACTCATACATAGCCTTCTTCTAACCCTGTCTGCATTTTTCTGTGGTCAAATCATTCTGTTCTCAAGGAACTATTTATACAAGAAACAAAGGGATGAAGTAGAAGCCAGACAGCCAACTCAGAGGACATACCAGGCATAAGGAAGAAGTCATGCCATGGTTCCTAATATGGCTGCTAGTAAGAATCAGAATGCATCACAAACCAAGTTTAGAAGGGCTAGAACTCTGCATTTTATCCATCATCCATGACACATTTACTGAAAAACGGTTCCCTAAGTCTGTTTACTTGGTGCACTGCATCTAGCTGAGCTGACCAAAGCAATCTCTTCCCCCAAAAGAAGTAAGTTAGGAGTTCTCCCCAGTGTTTTCTGAGGGCTGCAGGGAAGATAAAATACGATTCTCCTATATTCTAGAATAATAATCCTGATCAATTTTGGAGGCACTAGTTCTTATGGATAGGAATTATACTAAATGTGGATTTTGAGAGTTTTTGTCTTTTAAACAACAGAATCCCCCCACCCCCCAGATCTGTATACACATCTCCAGGAGCACTTCTCTCCACTGTTTTGTCCAGCATGGTGCAATATGCATAACTTTCCAATTATTGCCAGCTGTGTTCACAAAACGTAATGAATAAAGAACACATTCCCCTGCCACCAAGACACAGAGACACACACATTTATATTGAAAGGCTCAAAAAGTAGGGGAGCCCCTGCCTAGCTTCCGTCTTCTTCCTGGTGCCTCTGCTCATGTGGCCCATTGGATCACAGTGCTTCAAGTGTCCCCACATTGGATGCCTCTTGGCACTGCAGTCTCTCTGGAAAGAGCCAGTTCTCCCCAAAGCTCCTACAGAGAGGTTTTTGTGACAAAGCAGAGATTGTTGGGAGGTGAGGTCACAGAGTTGCTCCTCACACAGCGCTCTGATTGTTCACAAGCTGGCAGTGGCCAGAGCACGTTAGTTGCTACCAGTGAGATCTATGTGACAGGAGTAGGAAGAGGAAACTACAAAATAACAGGAGGAATATAATAAAGAAGCACTATGGGAGAAGGCCTAGCCATCTGCTGTCCTCTGTGTCTTGGGTTATTATAACTCACTGACCTCAATTGACTGCCTGAACTGCACTTACCTTTAAATGACACATCTCAGAAGGCAGCATCATGGTCACTTAAGAAATGCTAGGTTGAAGGACTAATTGAACATGGCATTACTTGCATATTTGCATTGAACATTTAATATAGGAAGCTTCTCCCAATCCAAGTTAGATTACCAGGTAATGAAATTAGACCTTCCAAGTTTAGTTTTTATCTGCAGTTCTAATAATCTTTCACCACTAGCTATGAGGGAGCTACAAACACAAAACATCTAAGGCAGTGGTTCTCAACCTGTGGGTCCCCAGATGTTTTAGCCTTCAACTCCCAGAAATCCTAATGGTTGGTAAACTGATTGGGATTTCTGGGAGCTGTAGGCACAACACCTGGGACCCACAGGTTGAGAAACACTGATCCTTCCCAGTTGCAGTTGCATTGCAGTTGTCCTTCCCAATCTATCACTGCTTTCAGCTAGTAGAGATCTGGCCTTCCAGATGTTGGACTGCAAATCCTGTTTTACCTTTACCAGCAGTGATGGGTGGTGCCCCAACAAGATGTGGAAAGCCATATCTCCCACCTTCTGATAGAAACAGGGCCCTTCCACACTGCCCTATATCCCAGAATATCAAGGCAGAAAACCCCACAATATCTGATTGTGGACTCAAATAACCCAGTTCAAGGCAGATATTGTGGGATTTTCTGCCTTGATATTCTTGGATATAGGGCTGTGTGGTAGGACCCTGAGAGGCAATGGCTCTCCAGAATTTCAAGATGGAAGTGTCTTTAAAAATACTGGGTACTTTTGCATGCAAAGTAAGAGCTCTACCACTGAACTATGGCTCTTGGTACCAATGGGACTTTGTTCCTCATCAAAATATCTATTTTGGACAAATGATTTTTTTCCAGGAGATCAACACAAGGGAAACAGAATACATTTCCCTCTTTCATGCTCCTATAATTGGATATTTGCATTTTAACAGGAGGACCAAATGCAAAGGCATACACACTGGCACGTCTAGTTTATTACCCCAAAATGACAAATCAAAACAAAGGTTCTCTCCCTTTCTGTGTAACCCTTCCACTTGTTACTGTTCACATTATTGCAATTTTATAAATCTCTATATCTCTATATATACTGATGGGTGATGTGGTCCTTCTGTTCTGTGAGTTTCCGCCTTCAAGACACAGGGTTCATCTGAGACTCGAATGAGACCTGGGACTTGTTATTTCTCCACCTCCTCACCCACCCTGTGTGCCTATGTATTAGGCCATTTCCTAGTTGCCTGGCAACTCAATTTTCTCCTTTTTTCCTAAGTGAGTAAAATGGTGTTTAGGCTGAGAATGAAAGCATGATTAATCACTCTAACAAACTGTCTAGGAAGAGGCCCATTTCGATTGGATGACAGTGCTTTAGTTCTAATGGTTGGAATGCCAGGGGTTAGCCCTAATAATCAAATCAAAAGAAACCAGAGGCATTTTGTAATCTATCAGCAGCACAGCTTAAAGAATCCCATTATTCTCTTTTCTAACCACCTGATTCTCAAATTTTAAGATTCCCCTGAAATCCATCTTGCTTCTGATTCTCTGCTGTTGTCTTTGTTACATAGAGCTTATAACACTAAGTTACAAATAGGTGCAGTGCCTTAAAAAGACAATAATGCAGAATTTCGGAAGATTCATCACCCCTCTCAAGCCCATCTATATTTGTTCATTTACATTTGTATCACAGAGAGAAGGGAAAAAATGGGAAATGCCACATCTCCTGAGAAATAACAATGTTAACATTCACTTGGCGTGCATCCACACTAGAATGAATGCAGTTCCCACTAAGTGCCTTGGCTCAATGCTATGGAATCATGAGTGTTGTAGTTTGACAATGGTGTTAGCCTTCTCTGCCAAGGTGTGGTGGCACCTCATCAAACTAAATCTCCCTTCATTCCACAACATTGAGCCATGGCAGTTGAATGTAGTTTCAAACTGCATTAATTCTCCAATGTAGATTAAACCTTTGACATGGGAAGAAAAATGTAAATATATATCTTGAAGGCACACTATAATACAGAGCTTGAAAACGTTACTTTTGACAGCAATAACCAGAATTTCCACTGCCCATATTGGTTAAATATTTTAAGGGGCTTTACTGTTTCAAAAGTGATGTTGCCAAGTTCTTTCAAGTTGTGAGATTTATAAAAACCAACACAACACAACACTCAAAAACGAGAATTCCAGACAAGAAACAATCAGGGCCAGCTAATCACCTCCCAACAAAGGATTCCCCCAAGCAGTAAGAAGCCAGACCTTGAAACTGATAGGCCATTACATGCTAATCAAGGTGGCCAACTGAAACATTCACACCTACCTCAAACAGACAAGAGTTCTTTCTCCCACCCTGGACATATATAAACCCCGTTTTCCTAGTTTCCAACAGACCTCACAACCTCTGAGGGTGCCTGCCA